ATGCGCATGAACAGGAGGAATCATTCAATCCAATCCAAGCAGCAGGATGGCTTGTCTGTATTCTCTTGGAACATCCACACACATGCAAGCTATACGTAGATATCATCCAGATTCCAAGGTCAACAGTGTCATATGGATACTTGATAGATCTCCATGTCCAGTCCAGGATTTGACATCGTACTTGTGTCATGAGCATCCGTGGCCGATACATATCCACACTGTTGAAGAGTCAACGAGTTCATCGATTTGCCTCGTCGCTGTAGACTTTCTTCTGGTTCGTCCAAGGCGAACTGTTTCTTTGTTTCAGTACAAGATTGATTTGATTTGATCCCTCCCTCGGTGTTGCTGCTGCTGAAGCGCAGCTGTGGCTTTCTTTTCTCCATCACTAGACATAAAAGACACCATTTTATTGGTTTCACCTCCTTCCTTTCTTATTTTTCTGCATGCAATTTTGTCGTAGTAATAGAAAGAAACCCCAAACTGCGCCATTCCGTGGGCTAATGTTAACCCAAGATTCGAAGTTGTGCGGCCTAATCCAAATAGAAACTGGGCTTCGACCGGCGCTACATTATCGTGCCGACCCCCACGTATAATGCAATCCTCCATACATAGGAAATACTAATATTAAGCAATTAACTTAGAATTGGTTCCTCAAAACAAATATGGAATCCAGAGTTTTTATTTTTAAATAAATATTATAAATCAAAATTTTATTTTTATGATGCTTTAATAATTATATTATTTTTCTAAGAATAAAGTACAGAGCTTTTGTTTACAGATTTGAGATTTTTTTTTCGACGAAAACTCAAATATAGAATTCTATGATAAATTTTTAAGATCTTTACTAGTTAAATTAGCTGATACCTTCATATTTAAAAATATTGATCGTTCATATATATTTTTATTTTACTTATATATTTTTATCCTTTTTAACCATAATTTAGGTTTAATACCATGATACTATTTGACCACATGTCTTTTAGTATTATTGATTGAATATATAACGATCGAAATATTATTTTTATCTTTTTTTGTTTTTGAGTTATTTTTTTTAAATATATCATGTTACAGTTTATATTTTTGCCATAAATTATAAGGTGAGTTGCCATTAAATTTTCACCTTTTTCATATTTATAATAATTTCAATATAAGATAAATAAAAAGAAATTCTCATATATATCTTAAATTTGTTGAATGACTTACAAAATAAAACCCAGTATAAAAATACATATTTTTTTGTACTGAGGGTATCCATATTTTTATTTTGTTCTTTATTGGAAAGATGTTTAAATCATTATTAAGGTTTGCACTATTTATCACAATTAACAATAACTTATTTACGATATTCTAATGATATTTTTGTAAATAATTAAATATATTATTTCTTTTTTACTTATGTATGTGTGTATGTATGTATGTATGTATATACACACACAAAGCAGGCAGTAAGTATTAGTAGACCAAATAAGAATACACATCCCACATTAAATGCCAACGTTTTCGTCATGCTGTTGTACGCCGCCCTTTTTGCCCTCAGATAACGGAACTGCAGCAAAATCGCCGCTCGCAGCGCCGCCCATACACACGCCTCTCTGCGAAATGGAGCTCTCCGCGCCTCCCCGCAGCCTCCCTTCCCTCCTCCGCCGCCCCTTCGTCCCCACCATCTCCCCTCTCCTTCTCCTTTCGTCTCGCCGGCTCCCCAACAAGTCTCTCCTCGCCTCCCGCTCCCCCAAATCGGTTCCTGGTACTTTGCACAGATTTTGCTGCTTTTTGACTTGTTTTCCCACTTCTTTAGGGGTCATTTTCTTATCCGGTGATGATTTGATCTATTTGACGACGAGTTGAAACCCCAGGGACTCGTTTTTCTGGTTCTTGATGCAGGATTGAATCGCTCCATTGGTCGCCCGCTGCGGGCCACAGCCTCGGGCGAGGAGGCCTCCACGACCGTCGTAGCCGATTATGACACACCGAAGCGGGTCGTAGGACCTTCCGTTTTGGTGAATTCGTCTTCTGCTGAGGAAGACGTCCCCGATGAAGGTGGCGAACAAATTTCTGAGGCTTCGGATGATCTGTTACCTAAGCTCAATCTCAAGGTGCTATCTTCGCCGTCAGCCTCCGACGAGGAGACCTCCACGACCGTCGTCGCTGATGATGACGCACCGAAGCCGGTCGTAGGCCCTTCCTTTTTAATGAATTCGTCTTATGCCGAGGAAGACGTCCCCGATGAAGGTGGTGAACAAATTTCTGAGGCTGCGGATGATCTGTTATCCAAGCTCAATCTCAAGGTGCTATCTTCACCCTCAGCCTCGGACGAGGAGACCTCCACGACCGTCGTTGCCGATGATGACACACCGAAGCCGGTCGTAGGACCTTCCTTTTTAATGAATTCGTCTTCTGCTGAGGAAGACGTCCCCGATGAAGGTGGCGAACAAATATCTGAGGTTGCGGATGATCTGTTATCTAAGCTCAATCTCAAGGTGCTATCTTCACCCTCAGGTTCATGTGTACTTTAACTGTGTCACGATGTTTGATTGTGTATTAAGGAGTACTGCCTAGGCTATGTTAGTTTTGGGCGTATAATCTAGTATTTGAAATTAGTCTTATGTTATTGATTTTAGCTTGAATCTGATAACAATAAGGATTGCAAGATGTTTCTGAAGCATGATGAATTCCCATTTATCTGTTGTCGAGTTGTGGTAGAATAGCCATACTCTAAATCCTCTAGTCTTATATCAAGGTTGCAGCCCTGGTTGTGAAGAAGCTAAAATTTGCCCATATGTCGGAATTTTCATGTCAGTAGAATCCTCAGGTCCACGTCACTAGTTTGCCTCCTCACCAAAATGTAGATCAGGGTTGCAGCCCCTAGTTTGTCGGAATTTTCTTTTACTAAATTTGTATGTTTTGTTTCCGGTCCAGCAATGTGCGCCTTTCTGAACATGTTTTTTTTCTTTTCATGTATGTATATGTGTGTGTGTGTGCGCACGTGAGCTCATATGTGCATATGTACATACAACAAACCACTTTTGTTCTTAAGTTGAATTGCCATTGTGCATTACATGATATGGAATCTTGATAGCTTTGAATTGTTTATAGCAATGAATGAGAATTTGATTTAGGCATCTATCTGTTGCTTAAGAATCTGGAAAACATTTGAAGTACTCAGTGAAAGTGCCATTTCATCTTGTTACACTTGTAGGAAATTTTAGGCAACATAGTATCGTACTCCAACTAATGGGTGGTTTTATGCCAATCCTGTCAATCTAGCATGATCTACAACCAAAAAACTTATATTATGTGTACATTTGTATTATTGTAAAACCTCAATTTCATAAAGGGATATTTAAATTACGTACCATGGGGTGTATTAACCAAGTATTCGTTTTATTTTGCACAATTATTTAGGCAATGAAAGAAGGTTTTGTGTGCTGTAGATATATTTCTTAGCTGTGCTGCAGTGGATTTAATACTATGACTTTTCAAAGTTTCTTTTCTTGTGTCAGAAGTGAAGTATCTTTGTAGTGTATACAATATGTTTTATTTTCATTCTCACTAAATTATCTTCTCTGTCTGTGGCAAACAAGTTTGGTTTATGCTTGTGTTTTGGTGGTTAATTTAATGAATAGCGATTAGGTACACGATCGGTAGGACTAAAGAGCACTTTGAAGTCAAATTGCAGAGAAATGCCTATTAACTATTTGAATAAGAATGTCTTCTTTACAATCATGTGAATGAAAGCAAGAAATACTTGGAATTCCTTCTCCTTTGTTATATTAATTTTAAATATCAGAAAAAGAGAATAATTAAGTGACTGAATTCACAACATCAATCTAATCTTGGATCTCAAATTCTCTTGCAAGATAATTTTTTTTAGTTTGGTCACCCTGGTGAAATATTTCTCAACATTGTGTCATTAATCCTCGACTGTCTCGGACTGTTTGTCGCTCACCACTTATCAGTCAGAGTATTGCTTATGATGTGCAGATGGACCTCGAAGACACTTATACCATCCTATTTTATGGAGCTGGTACTCTTGTCACATTGTTGATTCTATCAGCTATTATTTCCTCCATTGATTCCGTCCCTTTGGTATGCTTTCCTACCTGAATCGCTGAAACATGGTTTACGTAGTGTTAGTCGTCATTTATATTTATCCGCACCATTTCATGGAACAGTTTTCCAAAGCGATGGAAGTTTTTGGCCTTGGGTTCACAGTCTGGTTCAGCTTTCGGTATCTGATCTATAAGGTGATTTAGTTCCTTTTACCAAAGAGCTTTTCCGCAAGACTTGTGCTTTGTGCTTTGTGTTATAAGCATCGTTTTTATGATTGATTTGCAGGAAAATAGGGATGAGTTAGTCTCAAAACTTGATGATCTCAAGCAGAAGATAGTAGGACCGAGTGATAACTGAGTACTTGGGGTAGTAGGACGCGGAATCCAAGATCAGCATAGTGTGGAGTCAGGTATACCTAAATAGTTTAGTGACATGTTTTGCAGTGGTTTACCGAAGTGGATATATCCATATTTCTCTCACTTCGTGATGAGCCTTTAAACTCTGAATGTGGCAATGGTGGCGTGAATCAGACGGTCTGTAATATCTAATTTGGAGATGTTTGACCGGAAACTATTTGGCAACCAGTTGACTAGAATTTGTTATTATAATATCTCATGCTGTGATTGAGTGTTTGTTCTCCCTGTGTATCGAAGATCGAGCAGCCTGTGTTTAATTTCTTAGGATGCACATGAATCACGGTTTTTCTTGCTTTCTGACAGTGAAAGAGAATTTGTGGCTTGTGGTCAGCAGTCGTGCCGTGTTCATCGATTTTCCACTAAAATTAGATCGCAGAAGTTGGCATCTTATTCGACTCCTACTACATAATCCATCACGAGATGTATGTTTATGCCCCCTTTCTTATATACCTTTTAAGCAAAGCATCGAATATGATTCGGACATAGGAAGGGCAGCGGCTTGCGAGCACAGAGCTTTGTTGGTCGAATGCTTGGTTTCTTGATTGGTCCCAACCTGCCCAAACAATCAAGTCTGCATGCCAAGGACACAAAAGTCTGTTTGTCATCAGCCTTCAGCAACAACTGAGACGACATTGAAAATTTTACATGCATCTTATCGTATGCTTGCCGTTTTATATGATCCACTAGAGAAATGTACCGCACTTGGTCGAGAAATCACATGATAAGTCTCGTATCTTCTCCAGTATTGTTCCACCGCTTGCAGTTGATTCACCATATTGGATATCTAATGCCAAGGCCATTGCATGTTAATATCAGGCCCTTGTATCGGTTCAGGTATTCCTGAAATTTTACAACACATATTGTGATGCCGGAAACGAAGAGAACCAAAACATTGAAATTTGAGACTACACAAGCATATAAAAATTACACACGACCGGGAACGATGTGTTTCATGGAGATTTGACAATTATAGACTTGACCAAAATATGATTTTAACCTCTCACAAGGAATTAGCAAAGCCAATTTCCATCCTTCTCTATGATAGTTCTGAGTTCTTTATGAAAAAGTTATACGACGCCCTCTCCCACTTTTTATTTATTTATTTATTGTTGGATTAGACTACTTGGAACATTTGGAGAGGAACTGGGAATTGAAATCAACATACCAAAAACTTACAGCAGTATGGTGAGATCAGGCTAACAATCTGCCAATATAAGTTTAAGACACTAGTTCTATCCAACTACAAGTTTAGCTGCAAAAGATTTATATCTATTGGCCGCCAAAATGGAAGACCAGATTAAATGGAGACAATATATTGAAAATGGAGACATGCTCTAACTAGCTAAAAGCTATATGCTCAGTTTTGTCCTGCAATCTTTTGGGTCACTTCCAACTAATTTGTTAGCAAATGAGGTCAAGCCAGAAAAGTCAGCTTGAATTTAACATATGTTGCAAAGGTAAGAAGCTACCCATTACACTATTTTAACTTGAAGTACTTATCTATCTAATTGGGAAAATTTTTGGTGTAACCAAAAATGCCATGCAATATGCATCATCAACATCTAAAACAGGCGAACAAAAGGTGGGCAGATATGCTTACAATAGCATTATAGTCTTCGACTACACAGACTCCCTTCTCATCATACTCTCGCCTTTTGACAGGATCACTTAAAACTGTTAAAATAATGCATTTTGTTCAGAAACAGTGATCAGGCGTAATAATGATAAAAATAGTAATGAAGAGAGTGAGATCAATGCTTAGCAGGATGCATTCTGTCCTCAGAATTTTAAATGGGCCAGATAATTAGATAGCATCTCTTTGCTAGTTGATCATTCATCAACCTATACTCGATTATTAGCAATTAGTGCAAACGAGATGATTCTTGAGATAAATAACTCCAGTACAAAGAACCGATCTCATGCATGATAGGGAAACTCTGAAAATCATTCAACATGACAAACTGATTGATGAGGCACAATATGTGCGGAGTGTCTATAAGTTAATGCATACTTCATTACTGCCAACAAAGAGAATTTTTTGCATACTTCATGAGAGTCAACGAAGAGAATTTATTGACTACTTCATCACAGTCAACAAAAAGAAGCAATAGTTACTTATTATATAAAAAAGTAAAAGGGAGTTGATAGCTAAGATTAATTGTGAAACTTAGCTAATAAAATTACAACTACTTAATGCAAATAAATCTGAAAGATGCACAAGAGATGAAGGATGACATCATTGAACCACAGAAACATTTATTTCCAGATTGAGAATGAATTATCATTATTTAAATATGATAATAAATGTCATTACTTGAAGGTGTTAGCTAGTTTAGCTGGTAAAGACTTCGACAATTTATTGTAATGTCCTAGATTTATATCCCACCTTTGCCACTTATCCTTTGCCAAAAACGAAAAAAAAAAAATCATTATTTGAACGATCTTTAAGATAATACATCGAGAAGAAGTATGTGCTTATATATAAATCTTAGAAAAGTTTCTATTGGTCTGCCCTTACATCACTAGATCGGGGCACATTTATCATGTTTATGAATTTTTAT